TGTTTACATTAGGTAAGGAATTCTCTTGAGATGTTGATCCTTTTCCTGTACGACCTTTCCTCTGTTGGAGTAAGCGTCTCTGTCTTCTACTGGTCAAAGATCCTTCTTGATTGGCATCTTCTGATTGAACTCCATCAGAACGTGTGTGCAAATAAGCAACAAGCCCAGGAGGCAGAACTCTGGACAATAAATCCAGAGCTGGTTGATAAGAATCTGCCCAGAGAGCAACAAGCTGTCGACTAACCTCACGTCGTTCACCAGGAGGAAGGAAGAAGGCGTGCAATAAATGTCTCAGCAAAGCACCATCACGCAAAGCAGCATCGCGCATGGACTCTGCTGCAATTGCATCTTCTTCTGCAATTGTACGCATAATCACAGCCACTGTTTCTCTAACACTTTCGGCAGGATGTCCAAACAATGCAAACAAACGACGCTTCAAACCAGCTACTTGGCGTAACAGTTCAACAAACACTGTGTATTGTGTTGTCTCACCATGTGGTTCACATATCATTGCCTCAAGAACCTCAACAACGGCCATTGATAATAATGGTGATACAGACATTGGCTTCAGCCTGTTGGCAAGTATAATAGCATAACCCTGATTAGCAAACAACACTGACTTTGTGTGCATGATTGTTGCATGCTGCTCTCCTTTAGAGTCTGTCAGTATATTTGTATCCCCAGGACCACCACCAATAAGAACTGCAACTAGCCCTGCAGCTTCAGCAGCTACACCCTCTGAACCATTTCTTAGTAAACCCATTATTCTTCCAACAGCAGCAGGAAAAGACATCACATGTGACGCAGCAGTTCTTGAAGCTAGTAATCTACGTAAACATGCAATAAAGCCCATCACCGTTGCAGCTGCTTTAGGTGAAGGGGGAGGTAAGGGAGGTGACTCTGGAGGAAGATTCGGTGTAGCTGGAAGCATTGTTATTAAAGCCATCAAAGTCACCTCAGGTACTTCTATGTTAGGAGGAACTCCACTATATGGAATACATGCATTGAACTCTCTTATTCTACGCCATAGCTTAGCTCTTGATCCAGGAATGGAACCACCTTCGGAAACTGCATCTTTGGCAGCTGCTGCTAAGTGTTTCAAATGCATGGATGCACTCTCCACATCTGCAATAGGCCGTTGAAGTCCGGATTGTAAATGGACTCTCCCACAAGGTGGATCAATAGGATGGCCTGGCATTGTCAGTCTTGGTAACACAGTCACTGCACATTGACCCTGCACAAATTAAACCTAGAGGTCAACCAAACCCCACGAAAGTGCAATCATGATATTAAACCCTGTCAATATCTTCAAAAGAACAATCTACCTACTTCTGTTTGCAACAGATCGCGAACTGCTGCAAGTAAGCTATCACGGGACGTGCTTGCATAAACCTACAATATATCATAAACATCAGAAACATGACCCTGCAGTAAGTCAGGAACACAAAACAAGGGTAACAAATGCTCACATGGATGGGGCACCCATCATTGAACTCAATTGCAAACATTTGGGGCTCCTCAGCAAATCGAACAAGAGCATTTACTGCAGATAAAGGTCGAACAATAACAGCCTGCACACATCTAGTGACTATTCTCAACATTTGATATAATTCCATGAAACATACACTTGAATCTATACAGAAGTAAAAAACCATAAAAGAGTTCGGGGAAAATTTAACATTTCATTTGTTGGGACTTAAATCTGTTATATGTATATTAAATGCATGCATTACCCATATATACGTAGATAACTAACTATATGAGCATAGTTAGATTTACACACCGAGCAAGAACATCTCTCTTTCATAACAGTTTATTCAATCTGAAAGGTAGCACTTGTTTTGTAATTGATTCCAGGGGAGGTGGCGTGAATGCTTAAAATTGGGCATCTTTGTCATATAGGAGCTCAATTCAAGACTAGTACACTGAACTTCATGGCATCAACGTAAAGTCTACAAGTATGCTCTAGTAAATTCATCAGCTTACTTCATAGTTCTCTGGGCGTCTTTCAACAAGTGAAACTTTTGTAAGAATCAGTTGGCGAGATACAGCATCACCATTCTCTCCAAGTCCACCTTTTGGGCCAACGCTCAAACTTAATCCTGGAACATTTAGAGTTCCACGAGCAGCAGAGCGCAACCTTGTCACGGACCAACCTCCACATGGAGTTTCTTCTGCTCCAACTGCCTCTTTTGCTGCATTATCCAGAAAAAATGATAAATGAATAGCTAAATTTTTTAGCATTCGTGGAATTTGCCAATAGACACAGTCATCGGGACACAAAAATAACAAATAAAGAAGATAATTACTACATAGAGACCACTAAAAAGTGTTCAGAATGAACTACCCCTTCGCTTTATATACTCCGCTATCGTGAGAGATTGAGAAGTTTCCACAGTTAGTGACACCCCAACCATAGACTTTGCTGTTTTCGTCTGCATTACAATGTTTTATAACATAAGTGCTAATCCAAGAGGCGTATTCAAAAGAGTCACATAGGAGGGTTTTTGCATGGGGGGCACTTCAGACGTAAAATTAATCTCACAGAAGATATCATTTACATGAAATAAGTAAAAATTTCAACAGTTCAAGTTCAGACATACCAAATTTGCAATTATGGAGGAATTTGTGGATCCAGAAGCAGCTTGAAAAGCTTTAGATTTTCTTCCATATAAAGGACAAAGAACAAAACCTCCATGTTCACTACCTTTCTTCCCATAAGCATCAGAAAGAAAAACAATGGCAGGGGAATCGAAATCTCTGAAATCCAAGCACCAGCGAAGGTCTCCACTTTTTAAATCAATCAGTTCAACCCCAACATAAGTAACTTTCAATTTCTGCCCAAGCCATCAATTGTTACAGAAAATCAGTTTAATAGTTATAAAGAGCAAAGTAAACATGTCATTTCCCATTGCTAGCCAATCAAATAAATATTATTAACAGCCAAATAAACATACCAGTTTAGTAAATATTACAAAACGGTCATATACTAACGAGTGACATGCATGCATCTAGAGTGACTCAAACAGTGTCAAAGGTAAACTATTTGGCAAATGAACATAATTTTCGCTAAAGATCCAAGTAATAACCACCATGAAAAGTAACCCCGTTTCCATATTTTCTATAGTAGAACTATTTGGCAAAGAAGGATAATTTTCACTTAAGATCCACTCTTCCAAGGAAAACTTGCTCATTGCTAACAATACCCCCATTGGACGAGTTGAAGCAATCATATTATTAGCCATTGAATCTTCTACTAACAAATTTATCAATTGCTATACGGAATCTTCTACTAACAAATTTATCAAACTAGTGCAGTAAAAGAACGACATTGCACAATCACCAACAAGCATTGCAAGAGAGGCAACTTACAAAAGCGACCCACTCGGCATTTCGTCTCCGTAGATGAAGCACCGGAAATTCAGCGACGGCGCCCAACCGATTCCCCTTAATTCTATGCAACTCGGTCAATATACTCGCTCTATACCTCGATGAGAACTTAATGCCCTTGAATTTTCCACGGCCGTCGGTCCGAACACTCAAATTGAACTCATTTGAGTTCTCGTCGCGGCCGATGATAGGCGCGGCGGAGTCAAAATCGGAGGCGACCTCGTAGGAATTGGTGACGGAAAGCGTTGCAGGGTCCAAGGTGGTTATGGTGACATTCGAAAGGCAGAGAATTCGCTTGTATCGGCCACGCCATGAGTGCTTGACGACCAAGTAGCGAGCGAGGTACTCGGGCTCTTCGACAGGGGTAGGGGTAGAACGGGAAGAAGATTTATTGGAGCTGTCCATGGCTCTAGGTATGGGTGCGGCTGAGCGGTGTTGATCAGATGTGTGGCGGCTCACGGATTCTACGTGTGGGAGGTAGTGGAGGGTGTGAGTGCGAGGCGCATTGTTGTGGCGGAGAAAGAACCAGAGTCCCGAGCCGGCTTGAGCCGGTGGTGGCGCAGAGGCCGCCGCCTGAGACCGAGACTGATTCGCCCCCAGCTCTGACGGTTTCTTACGCGTTCTGCCACAGCTTCCAGTTTCGATCGATTAAGCCCTAACTGAACCTAATTGAATCATCTGAGATAAAAATTTGAGGCTTCGAGTGGAATTTGCGATCCTGATCGGCTGTTTGCAAATTGCGTCCAAGAATTGGAATTGAAATGAACAAGATTCTTATCAAAAGATTAATTTTTAGAGTTCTTGAGAGAGAGAAAGGAAGGACAGCTGGGGAGAAGAAAAGCTGTGCTTCGCTGTGTCACGACTCATAATACTGTGCTTTGCTAAAAGCTACATCATTCTCTTTGGCCTTGACACATTCTGCGGAAGATACCGTCACCTCACTGTGACCTATTTCCGATGACGTGGCGGTAAAAAGCGTGCTACTAGATCAACCGCCTTTGCATTCTCCCCTTCTTTTCTTTTCTCTTCCTTTCTAATTTTGTTGGAAAATTTGTTGACGGGTTACCATCCAAAGCGATATTCTACTTCAAATTAATGTAAGGAGGACTCAAACTTTTAGTGCAAAAGCATGACTCCAATTTTAGTGCAATATAGGGATTTATTGTCTTGATTAACCGGTCGAACTCACATCTACATTTTACTAATTTATTTTATCATTTAAAAAAAAAATACCAACTTGCAAAGATCCACAATTTCATCCTTTATAATTACCAGGGGTGATTGGTGAAAGGTTGAATAGAAGAAAATGATAGTTGATACTTTTGCTTTGGATGGATGGCCACCCCAAAACCTAATTATTTGAATAACTTCATATGACCGAGACAAATTAAAAATAGTATTGCCCGACTCTAATTAATTAAAGCAACTAAGTGGAGAACAACAGTAAAATTTGTACTCTTCATTGTAATGAGATGGTTTTTTTGTTTTTTTTTGTGTGTAAAAGAAGCAACTACACAGAGTAAACATTGTACAAAAGAAACTCAGCATTAAGGGACCCTCCTACTTACAACAAAGCATCCACAGAAACCAACCATGCTCTCCTCTCTCTCTCTCTCTCTCTCTCTCTCTCTCTCTCTCTCTCTCTCTACTTTTCTCTTCCTGTAACTTCAAGTTCTGATGCATCATCATCACCGGTAGTATCCGAGCTGACTGGAACAGATTTAGAAGCAGCAACAGGGAAGCACTGCATAAATTGTGACAGTCAGAAAACAAGTAAATGTTAATCAAAATTCTGAGACCATATAATAAAAGGGGGGATAAATAGAAACCTACAACTTGGATTGGACATAATAGTTTACTAATAACAGAACAGTTTGCCGTATTTAGCCTAACAATTCAAGTTGTGCGAGAAGCACACAATGCCTCCTTCAAGACTGACAAGAGAAATGAGCATCTGCCAAATATTATGTAATTAGAAGAAGGGTGGCAATAGTAAATATCATCCTAGTAATTTATTAAGGCAGGCAGCTGATAACAAGCAAAGTTACCAGAATCATCACACAATCAGAAACATTAGTGGTAATTACTACAAGACAATGTAAAAAGAAAGTTGAAGCAGGAGAGTCAATAAATTAGTGCATATGGCTTTCTACCTCCAGGTCATACAGCATGTTGATCGAGGCTTCCAAGTCACCATCATTAGCAGAGTGAACATGAGCAAGGCAATGTTCTGATATGTTTGGAAACATGAATGACAGATAAGCCAGATGTATCTCAGAATCTTCATTTATGTACTGCACTTCAGCCTGGTTGCTTATCTTCTGCTGTAAACCACTTTTTTCCAGACTATTGTCATTGACAAGAGCCTCAATGTCATGGATGCTAAAGTCAGAAGAAGCATCACCGCCTTCGAAATACAACTGTGCCGTCCCGGTGTGGCCTTCAGAAGGAGAATTGAACAGAACAGTTTTATGGCTAGCCTCCTCTTCTTTCTTGTTCAGTGGTATGTATGATGCTGCATGGGGATTCAAAGATGACATGGTTGAATTCATTTTCTTAATTCCTGCAATAAAGGGAAGCAAAATTAAGCCCGGCCAGAAAAACTAGAAGACCAATCTTGAGAAAATGGACTTGCCTTCAATAGGAATAGATGAATCGTAATTATGGGTCAATTTGGAAATATATTTCTCAAAAAATACGATTGGTACCTACTTTTATTGGAAATATATAAGCAGCGTATAGCTTTCAAGTTATTTTTCTTTAGAAGCATGGTGATCCAAGCAAGGTATCTCACAGGCCTACATTCATACAGATTACAGACAGCAAGAAAGGGACAAACACAATTTGTATTAGACAAATAAGTGTTGAAGAATATGAGTCTCACATCGGAAACTTGACTAAATAAAATACAAAATATAATGAATGGTTCTACTACTAATAATACCGAGACTTTTTATGATAAAACCTCACACCTACTGGGCTTTGTAGGTGGTTAAGTTGGGGACAATATCGGTGTTGTCGAGAAAATTAAAGGCTCTATTTGGTTGTCTGGAAAGAAAAAAAGAAAAGCGCACACACACATAAAGAAAAAGCATTAGTGACCAAATAGAAAGTGATAAAAAATAAAAGAAACTTTGCATAGCATAGAGCGCAACATAACATAATCAAGATTCGCAAGAAAAAAGCAAGAAATGTAAAGATAACAGTGTGTGTAAGAATACCCTCCTAAAAAGAACAAATAAAATGAAACTCTAATGTTAACAAATATTTAAAATTGCCTAATGGGACTTGCCCATGGGTTGATCCTTGAGTCCAACTAAATGGGCCAATTCAAAAGTCCAAGGCGCAACAATGAATGGGCTCTTTGCTGAATATGAGCCGAACCAAACCCAATTTTAATTTTCTCTGTCTTCTTTTTATTTATCATAATTTGGTTAAAAGACATAATGAATAATTCACGTCGTAAAACATAATATCAATAAATAAGTATTCATATTATAATATTAATGGATTAATAAATAGCAACATGTGACAATTGCTGTCACAATTTAAAAAGTTTCGCGAAAAGTAGCTCATGTATAGTTGGACACAATGCGATTCAATTGTCCCTAGTAATTGATGATCATTCCCTGCCTCATAAATCATAACAACGGGGTAGCTTCATTTAGCTAGCACTTTGTTCACGGGTCTCTGCAAGAGACAAAAGGTCCGTGAAGCTTTTCGTAGCAGATTCCGGCAAGCAAATACACACAAGCATTGTCCCGCTAGGATCAGCCTCCGCTTCCGGCAGAAAAACACAAACTTGCGGTGTGGGAGTGAGATCTATAGGGCCAGCATACATTGGCCTGCCCCATCCAAAATCTGCAGAATCATATATTGAAAATCTAGTCCATTGAGTTATTGTCAATTTGCCTCCAAACTCCAGCCTCCTTGGCCTGTCCACTTCAACATAATCCACCGTAGACCTCAGATACTCTTCCGAGATGCCAAGCCGGGCTTCACGAACCAACTGCGCCGTGTCCGGGAACGTTCCATACACAAGCTTTCTCACAGTGCTTATGACACAAGCCAAGCACACCACATTCCCATAAAAACCTTCTTTCAATGGCGGGTTTTTGAGCTTCTGGCGGGCATTGACTGAGAAGGTTAGCCTGAGCTCATAGTTCAATGGTTTTACATCAAGTGCTTTCACCCATGATCTCCATATATGAGCAGCCATCGCATCAAATGTGCTGCATGTAATATTGGACATATCATCTTCTGGTTGAGCCAAAGTTTTCAGCCAGGCCTGGAATTCGCGGCTTATTCTGTAGCATTTTTGAACAGCTTTGGTTTGCCAGAGGCTCATTGTTAGGCTTGACCCGTCCTCGATTCTCATGAACTCAATATGTGGGAATTTCACCAGCGGTGGATCGCGAGGCCTGAAAAAGTCCCTATCCCAGCATGGCGTAGGGTTTGTGATCGGTATGCCTGCTTTGGCTGTGGCAGCCCATGAGCTGAGAAATTGCATAGCACCAAGCCCATCAACAATGCAGTGGCAGATTCTCAGGCCGAGGCTAAACCCACCGCAGCTGAAAAGGGTCAACTGAGCTATCACCAGTGGCATGTCGAGCACTTTGTATGGCTCTTCATTTGGGAACCTAAAAATCAACGGTGACCATGCTGGGTTTGGCACTTTGAGGTCTCCGAGATCGGACAAGGACATTTCAGAGTGAGCCTCCACCATGAGAGCTCCTTGGTCTTGCCCGAAAAACACCTCTAGCTTTCCATTGTTGGTCTCTCTCAGCCTACCAGATAAAGGGTAGTAAGGAACCAACACACTGGCAAGAGCATCACGAAGTGCTTTCATAACGGGTCTCCAGTTATCTGAGGCATAAAAATATACTGTGGGAGTGAAAACACGGGCTCCAACCACATCATCGAGGTTCGAAAGGTAAAGACTTTGGCCGGGAGCAGTGGGAGTAGGCCCTGAGGGCATGACTGGGACCATACGATCAATGGTAATGGGGATGTGGAGGTGAGGGAAATGGAGCTCTTGAACCCACGGAGGAGCCATGAGAGGCGCTGCAGGTAGCTGAGGCTATCCATGACGAATAGCCGCATTTGTAGAAGATCACTTTTGTCTTTGACATGCAAAGATGCTTGGGCTAAATAGATGAGGATTTTAAAGTTATTGGTATGGAACAGTTGGTGGTGATATTACTCATGATCAAAAAATATTTATTCTTGATTGAGTCAGTCCTACAGAGAATTCTTTGGAAACAAATTTTGTACCTTTGTGTGAAGTGTCCCTTCGTATGTTTTCACTTGCACCTGATGTGTGTTTTTTTCTCCTTTGATAATTATAGAGGGCATAGAAAAAACACATGGTAAATGCATAAAGAGGACCATCAATTGAAATTTTGTTAGTAAACATTCCAAGAGAACTGTCTGGCTTGAGCAATTGATCATATGAGAATTAAACATGATACATTTAACTATACCTACAAATTCACACTAGGCCTCTGTAGCATACCTATGATTTATGACCGAACGCCTAAAGGATATATTTCTATTAAGTTCACCATCACCAAAATTTTACCAGACAAGAATTTACCCTCCCAGGGTAAGTACTCTTTTTCCCAAATTGTACCATTTTCTGGCGATCATTTGCAACTTGGTCGGCTTCCAGCAGCAAACACTTTTATCGTAGCATAAAAGCACCTCTATTCTTGCGGAAGAAGCGCTATCTCAATTTCTTGGAGCGATTTTCCTTTAGTTTCCACCACATTTCGTTTCACAAAAACCACAGCCAGCATGCAAAAGGTGCCAAATATAGAATACAGAAGCCGCGGGCCAAATTGTTCCAACATTTGTAAGAATAGCAATCCCACAAAGAAATTTATCACCTGGAAAACACCCGTCACAGGATAAATGAAACCACAAGATAATTGAATTCCATTTCTTAATTCAGAATCCACATGGAGGAAGAAACTGATTTACAAAATTAGTAGAATTCTAAAGCTGCACAACTACTAGGAGCTCTTGCCTGGGCAACGCACAGATCACCCGAACAAAAAGCCTTTAACAGCAGGAGACACAATAAAAAAGTTGACATGGAATTATTCAGAAGGAGAAAGAGAGAGTTACCCAATGCACTGACATACAGACAGCCATTGCTTTTGCCCTGATGCGGCTGGGGAATATTTCTGGTAAAAGGAGACCTGGAACTGGACCAGCTCCTAGAGCAAATGTTAAGACGAACCTGCACAAATTTTTCATATTTATAGACATATCTTTACCCAGTTTCTCCAAAAAGCACTAATAGCGTTCTACCATCCATGCCCGATTTTGGGGTAAATGATTGGATAATAGAACTTTGATTTAATTTTTGCCTCATTATTCATCATTTTCCTACATTCAACTCACTCATCTTAGTTGCTGCTTATTACAAGGGTCCCATGAAATCAGAAGGTGCTGAATCATGGGCTATAATTTTCCAAAAAGCATTCAGATATATAAAAGGGACATTTTGTGGCTAAAACCTAAATTTACTTATATAAAATATCATAAAAACCAAAGAATACATTCAAGCATATATCATCACATTCACAGAGGCTAAGGACACACAAACGTCATTGTAGCACATGCACAATAGTAATAAAAGAACTGATCAGTGGCAATATCATGAGCAAAATTTTCATGTAGTTACGCTTACTGGTTGCATTGCATATATGATCATATAACATAAGATTAGTCTTCGAGATGTAAAGTTCAAAATTAGTACTCACATCAGCATTCCACCAACAGACAGGTACAGTGATCCAGAGCCTGATGAATAAAAGCTTGCTACAACTTGAAGAGACATTGATATTGCCTGAGTGGATAAAATGCATTACATAATGGTCAGCCTAGCAAGATCATAAGCTCATTTTGTTTTTGAAACCAAAAACATAAAGGATAGAAAAAAAGTTTTTGAGTGGCTGCTGGTGGAGAGCTACTATTTAAGTGATACAAGATAAATGGAGATTTCCAGCCTATTGCAGTATCACATTACTCTTTTACCGTTCCAACATTTAAGCCCAGTTCCATCTTTTCCTTTGAATCACAATGATTTTTCCTATGTTATTTTTACAAGTCTTTCCATTTTATGTGAAAGTGCAGCTTCAACAAAAAAAAACAAAAAAAAGATTTGAAACTTCAATTTACCATGCCGAAGAAGCTCCACAAAAGCAGCAGCTTCCTTCCTACTTTATCCATCAAAACCATTGCAACAATGGATCCTGAAAATTATAAAAATCCATCCAGTCAAGAGACAGAATGCACTAGTTTTAGATAGGTGAGTATGCAACTAAGAATCGAGGTATACCTGACAAATTTGCAATTCCTATGAAGGCATTTGCAAGGCCTGATGGTACTCCAGCACTTTTAAATACAGTTGAGGAGAAGTAAAAGACAGCATTTATACCAGATAGCTGTTGTAAAGCAAATAGGGTTGATCCAATAAAAACAACTGCAAAAAGAATATGTAAATAACAAAGCACATTCGGAAAGCCGAAAGATCACAAGAAAGGGGAAATAAATACACCACGTATGGATGGGGAGCCTATATATGCGCAAAGCCCATAGGAATTACCAGAAAGCATTGTATACCTCTAAAATGGCGGCCGTACAGCAACTCTGAAAGCCTTACAGTATCTGTGTCATCTCCCCTGTCCGACTTGGCTAATTCTGCCATTGCAGTTTTGACATGTGATCCACCAAGGAGCCTCTCAAATTCGGCTTCAGCCTCATAAGTTCTTCCTTGCTATATCACATGAAAGAAAGACAGTTAACATTTGTTTTCAGAGAAACAAAGAACAATTTAGGAGGACTATCATCTCCCAAAGCAGAACCAGACATTGAAAAAAAATATTAGAAGAAAAATATGGTTTATTTTATTATCTGCCCTTAACTAGCCCTCCCTCCCGCTACAACTCTAGATGTGTCAGTGAGAGATCACAATTCAAACGCTCAAAAAGCCTAGGAGAATAAAGGTTTTCTCAAAGTGAACAACATCCATTAGGGTATAATTTATGCTCAAGATGTTCAAAGGAAAGGACAGGATAGGAAAGGGGAGGACAGGACAGGTTTACAATACATGCATTCCAGACAGTCTTTTGGCATGTTACTGCCTTGATTCAAATGTGACTTTCCCAAAGACTTAATTCATTGAGAGCAACAGAAAGCAATTATTCTAGAGAATCATACATAGTCAATATTTCACTATTTTCAAATAAAGACAAATGAGAGAAGACCTTATGTAGCCAATGTGGACTCTCTGCACAGAATACCATGGCAAGAGCAAGTATTGCAGCTGGAATTGTAGATACCCAGAAACAAACACGCCACCTGACACATAAATTAAGATAGTAAGTTTGAAAGACTAAATAGAAGCAGAGATATTGTGAAGCCTATCATGTTCTTTACCAGCCAACAATTTCTTTGACAGGGATTCCAACAAAAAGAGCCCCCATTAGTCCAAGGCATGTTGCAATCTGGATGAGACTGCCATAAGTACCCCTCACAAAAGCAGGAGAAACCTGCTCAAGTAAAAGAGGAAACATCAGATAAGATAAGAAGCACGACTTACTGATGATTACAGAAAGGTTTATGCTAGATTACCTCTGTCACATAAAGAGAAGCAACAGGAGGGCCCAGGCCCATACCAGTCCCAACAAATAACCTCCCCAAAAGCATGCCAGCAAGAGTTTTTGTTGATGCACTGCAAATGCAGGTGGTACTTTTAGCCAGAATTCCTTCCAGTCGTATTATAAGAGGGACAGGGTGTAAGGTGCATATGAGTTTTGAGGACTACTTTTAGTTGTGGTTAAATATAAATGCGTGTGGTTACATATGGATACCAGCAGATCATATACCTTCAATACCAAAACCAGACTAATCTTCACTGAAACTAGTGATAAAAAGCATCATCTAAAGGGAAAAAATGTACAGCCCAACTTATGTATGAGGATCAAAGAGATCTACAACAGAGGTACATGAAAATGGGCCCTGCCATAAAGTTATTTCACAACTCACAAGATACGAGGAACCTAACTACTAGACAAAAAGGACAATTACATAATCCAAAGAGGAGAACCAATCTCACAAAATAAAGCTCCATGTAGTGCTTAATCAAAATGATAATCCCATGACACAGTTGCTTTTCAAAGTAAATATATTACCTCATAACAGCACCAATAATCATAGGCAACGCACAAAGTTGAAAAGCCCTACGACGTCCAACTCCATCAGCTACCCATCCACTGAATAATGATCCAACAAGCGCACCTCCCAAACATGTACTCACTACCAGACCTTCATTTGATATAAATTATCAAACCCATTAGAAGATATAGCTGAATGCAAAAATCAGAAATTACATTAGAACAAAGAAAGAAACAAAATATCAACTTCATGCAACCTTCTGCCAAGGTATTCCCCTTGAAGCCAAGATCTTTAGAAATGCTTTCAAGCGGTTCATTAACTACCCTGGACAAAGCAAGAGTTATAAAAAAAAGGTATTCTTTTCTTTCATGCTTCAACATAAAACAACTGTGAGAGAGAGAAGTGAAGTGCGAGCACCAACCCGAGATGGTAGCCAAACAAGAATGAAGATAGAGTTGCCACTACTACATGGGGAAAAGAAAGCCTCCAGGAGGGATTTGAAGGTTCTGGAACTGTAATTTTCTGTAAAAGAGCTAAAAACATACCCGAATTAAGCCCTTAAATGAATTCTGTACATATCGTAACTTGGTGCTCAATGCTTAAACAAGAAGACCTTAGAAGAAAACAGTGGTGTTCAGAAACAACTCTAACGCCACCCTTCCTTTTTAATTTGCTCTTACTGGTGCATCACTATAGATAACACATAGCTTAAATAGACTTCAGATGATCAATAAATTGAGTTACCTGAGTTTTCTTCCACATCTATCGCATCTATAAGCTCTTTTGCTTCCATGTCAATGGTATTTGTATAGTCTCTCGATGACAAGCGCTTGTACATCGAATAAGCTTCGCGTTGGCGGCCACGCATGCTAAGTTTGCAACCAGCCTTCCTTACAAATAAAAATAAAAATTTAGAATGATACCTTTGTACTACTAATATCCATCACTTCGATTAAAATTTAAAATACAAGCACTAACTTAACAGATGGCAAAGGAGACGCTCAAGACACGAAACTTATCTGATATTCCTCTTCTCATCTATTTTCTCAGGAGCCAAACAGATAATAAAATAATTATTAAACAAATAGGAAAGAAAAAACACAAAACAGAGCATCTGCCAAACATGTCGACAATAAAACCGATTACATATGAAAACAAACTCAAAATTCAAACAGAAGCAGTAATCCATAATCAATTAAATGCACTAATCAACAATTGAAAATGATGGACTAAAACCAAAATCAAACCAGAACGACTCAACGAGCTCCAAGCTACGATTCAAAGAAATTCAACTCCATATAAACCTTTGAAAAAGCTAAGTACCTTCTCTAAGTTCCGATCATCCAACGGATCTGAAATACGAGCAGTGAATCCAGGACGTGTGAGAATGGATTTCGGCGACTCTGACACTCTTCACTCAAACTCCTTCACGACTCTGAAGTCTACGAACCTTCACGAACAAAGCTCTCAACCAGATTGTCTATGTGAGAGTGAGAAGAAGTGCGTGTAAGATTGGGCCTGGTGCGGTGGTTCTGGTGTTAGAAAGGACGAGTGAGGAAGGAAGGTCTTGCTTAATTATGGAGAAAGCAACGAGAGATTAACCTCTAGTTTTCTTTCGAGTCAAATACAGAGGGAAACAGGGATACAGCTGATATTTAAATAATAGTTTATTTCTGTAAAATTAGCGGTATTTTAACTGTAAAATACGCCAAGTGTGGATCGGCTGCTACTGTGGATCAAAAAGATGAGAGCCGTCAATGTCTTATGACCGATACGACGTCGTATAGGTTGGCTTTATTGTCATTTTCAAATTCTTCCACGGTTCACGTTCTACCACGTGGCTAAGTGCAAAGAATGCAGGGTGTCCGGCTGCGGGTGAGTTAATTTTGCGTGCCACGTGTTGGAATTATTGGTTGTCGGTCTCTGTGACGTAAGAACCGGTGCAGCTTCCATCTGCATCTTTGAGATTTAAGTTTTTGTGTTTAGTCCTTGAAGTTTGGTTAAATTGCAAGGAGGGCTTAGAATAACAATTGAAAAGTTAGTGCTGGGACCACATTTGTTGGATTATTTTATGGATGGGCCCGCTATGATGACGCGTGTACTAGGTTCAATGACTTGCATGGTAACGACAAGCGATCACACGAAGCAATTGATTTGAAAATGGGATGAGAGAGTCCCTCCCCGAATAATTGGGCTAGGCTGTGGCTCTTTTTCATTTCTTTTAATAGAGGCAGTCTTTAGATTAATTGGATCTTATGGATAAATAATAATTGGGCCAAAACCCACCTAAAGAAAATCCGTAAACAACTTCTTTTTAAATAAATAAAAATAAAAATCATTTCATGCCTTAGACAAATCATATGTAATTAAATATGTTTTAATTATTATTATTTTAGAGAATAATTAGTATTTAAATATTTCAATTAATTGCATCAATTACTTAATAAATTGTAACTAATTATTTGAAATTATTTTGTAAAATATTCTATTTAAAGCGTATAGCCAAGCGGCTATAAATTTAAAATATTCTATTCATATAGTATAGCCGCACGGTTATACTGTTAAATTATTGTATTTAAAAAGTATAGCCGCGCGCCTATACTGTTAAACAATTCTGTTTAAAGAGTGCAGCCGCGCGGCCGTACGGTTAAAGAGCATACCTCTATTGTTAAAATTTCTATTTATAAGGTATAGCCGTTCGGCTATACCCTTAAATTATTGTATTTGGGGACAGCAGATCTTAACTCCCAATTAAACACACACACATACTGTAAAAATAAATATACGAATAACTCATATACGTTACTATTCATATTCCTTAAACACCCCTATCCTCATTACGTCAAACCAGGAATAGTGTCACCCTTCTCCGTAATTTCAAAGAAAGTTCTCATACCCACTTTTAGGGCTTGCATTACCCTCGCACCTCTGTCTTGCGACTCATCGCTATCGAACAGCGAAGCGCACAGAACGATGGGGTCAAGGGACAAGGACCAAACGACATCGCATCATCAGCCTCTTCTGAGCAGCCTTGTCGTCCGGCCCTCCACCAGCGACGGCGGTGGCGATGGAGGTGGCCGTGGCAGCGATTACGAGCTCGGCGAGGTTCGCCGTGAGCCTCCTCAGTACACTCGTTCGGATCGTTACAACGATGATCCTGGTTCGTCTCTCTATTCTCAGCTTCCATTTTTATTTGTTATGGTGATTTATGCTCAAATTGGATTGATTTCTAGTGCTTTATGAATTTGTGTGTTCTTATTTTGGTTTTGTTATATGCCATTCTCTTTTCATTTTGTTATTTTGTTGTTTTGTTGTACTTAATTTGATTCGTCTTCGGATTTTAGCATTTTATCTTATAGATTCAATAATCATAATTATTCATTTATTTGTGGTGTGTGTTTGAAGTGCAACTTGTAAAACAAAGAGGTTCATGTCATGGAATTTGTTTTTTATGCTTCTATGAGCATAGATTTTGAACTATATCAATTTTGTGTTAGAACTTCTTAGTTCATCAGTAATTGATTTTTGAAGCTTAGCATATGCTTGATCATATTTATGATTATTATAAGCGACTACGGTGAATATTGCCCTATTAGTTTGTGATAGTCATACAACAAATGGGTTTCTGGGTTTCTTGAACCTTTTGTTTGTTTACACTGCATGTCGAGCATGTGGATCTGTAACCGCTTATAGAGTGTCAAACTGTGAATAAATTCTGCTATTGTGTCTTACAGCTCTGAATGTGCCTGCAAGAACTTGAATCTTGAGGAAGGCATGTTGGTGTGAGTGCAGTCTTGGATCATGGTCTGGGGGAATTGTTTTTTCATATTGTGGGTATTTTTGTTTGTGGGAGATTCATGGGAATCGTATATGATGTGTGAACTCGTGGGTTGCTGCATCAATGAATATCGGTTGCTGGGCCTCATTTTGTTGTATTGCCTATGATTGTGGTATTTGTCTGAATTTTTATGGGATTGATGATTAGATTATCGGGTTCATATCAAATAAGAGTTCATTGAAATGCCAATCAAAACTGGAAGTTTGAATGGGATTTATTCTTAAGAATTTCGGGGCACATGACGTGGTGCAAGCATTGTGGGGAACTTAACACCACTAATATTATCATTTTGGTTATTTTGAATTGCAACCAACAGTGAGGATGGTTTACTTGAGATGCTGCTGGAAGATGGAAAATTTGGTTATCAATTGCGAGATGGTGGAAATTCAGTTCAGTTAAGGGGTACTGAATTTACTATGTGGATATGTAACACTAAGGAAGATGTGTTTCCTGGGTAATGTTGAGCTTTTCTTGTTTCCTTGGTTTTGTGCTTCTTTACTTTGTGGTCGGGAATTGTGTTTGATAGTGGTGGTTTTGTTGCGGTCTCATGTTTCTTTTTTCTTTTTTCTTTTCTTCAGATGCCTTTATAGGATTAGTGGATGGTTATATAGTCACTAATATGAGTTTATACTTCTCAGCATTGTTAAATTTGGTGTAGAGTGCAGGAACATTCGGGAACTTCTTTTAGTATGTTCAATTCTAGGTTATCATGTATTTTGTAGGTTTTTGCTGTCTTTATATTTTCTGGGAGGTTAACTGCTACGGAAAATGGCTGCAGAACCCTTCAGCTTTTGGATGATAATTTCTATCCCCTTTTCTACTTTTAAATCCCACTTTGTCTCAACAAATTAACGGGAATTACCTATTCGGGTTGAGCATGCATCAATTGCTTCATCCCTCTATGCTGTTCAGAATGGTTATGCATCGCAGTTCAGTTGCAAGTTTATGAATCTTAGTAGAATCAGGGGTTTTGAATTTTTATAGGAAGATGCGAAGATGGTCTCTGAAGAAATGAACAAATTGAGAGTGGGTAAATTGTAGAAGTATTTGGAGGCTTGAAGTTCAGTTGGTGTTCTTATTGGGCAGTTCATTTCATGTGGGTGTGCGCTATTGGTTTCACTGCTACTTGTTGCAGTCATGTTTCAACTGAAGGTCTTGGAACTAATTTGCACTGGGCTTATTGTTATCTGTGGTGGATTAGTATCAAGTACCAATTAGGTGCATATGCATCTTCTTTATCTGTAGGCTGCATCTTCTTCCTTATCACTGCGAATGCTGTACAAGGTTATGGTATGGTTACTCCAGATTCATGATTGATGGGGTTTTTCAGATATGTAGGTTAAAAATATGTGGCAAGCTTGTAATGGTTCATATGGTAGATGGATGTGGCTTTTGAAAATATAAAACTGTGTAATTTGATTGTTCTCGATGGTGAGCGGTTACCCTATGTGTTGAGGACCGTGGGGTTGAGTAAACATGCTTGTTGCTGTATTTACTGGTATTATGCGCCAGTTGTTTGAGAAGTAACAAGGGCAGTTATTGTCTGAACTTCTTATTCTCTTCCACACTTATATGATGTTTCTTTTAACTACCACAATGAAGAGATCCTGAGTGATGGTAACAGCCCTTACAAACTTTGAAATGATCATATGGAAGTTTCAGGGTCACAACTCCTAATCCCTCGGCTACTGACATTATAATCCCGTTGTCTGTTTTTCTGTGCAATTGGTGGTTACTTATCTTTTCCATTCACTACCTTCTCCAGGATATAGAATGCGTGCAGGTTCTGCTTCTCCTGTACACCGCAGGGATGCAGATCATCGATACAGTTCTGAGTATGATCATTCAGGTGGTCCCCTACGCGGTCGTGAGTTTGGCAGTGCGCGGGATTCCGGTAGATATCGAGACAACTCACCCCATTATGCTAGAGGAAGGGGTGCTGGCAGACCATTCAGTAGAGGTTTAGATGGGCCGGGGCCTGGCCCTGGGCCGTTCAGAGGTGAAGGGAGTAGAAATAATCCAAATGTGCGCCAAAGGCTTGGAGACTGGATTTGTCCAGATCCTTTGTGAGTACATTTTCACCCTTTTATCTTCTTTGTTTAGGTTTTCCTCATTGCAACTTGTCAGTGCTATGACTGCATCGATGTTTCTGATTCCCATGATTCAGTTTTTAAGGCAGGATTTTGAAAAGGGAAGGACAATAGAGAGGAAAACATGCATGTAGACTTACAAAATCTTGTTACAAGTTTCAAGAATTTTATGAATATTCAAATCTATTGAGTAGAACTCTGCACACCAAAAAAAAAAAAAAATCTATTTATTACAAAAGTGGAGCTTATCCAAGTTGCATGTAATTTCTTGCATTTTAATAAGTTTTCTAGGAACTAATCACAGTGATCAAATTATGAATTTTAATAGCTGTATGTAGCATCATGCGAGTTGTTTTTAAGTGCAAGGTGTTCCTGTTTTCTGATTGTGGCTTAGGTCGGAAAAAATTTCCTTTCATTTTGCAATGTGAGTTAATGCTTGTAAATACACATTCATCATGTTCCAATCCGTATATTCTTTACGTGTCTCAGATGTGGCAACCTGAACTTTGCAAGGCGAGAGTACTGCAACAACTGCAACAAGTTCCGCTACGGACCTGGTGGAAGTCCTCGAAGAGGTTATCCCGGCCCACCACCTCCCAGTGGTCCTCCTAGACGCTTCCCTGGTCCTCCAGTTGATCCTCCACTTGGAAGGAGCTTGAATGGTGGCTATAGGTCTCCACCTCGTGGCTGGGCTAGAGATGGCCCTAGAGATTTTGGCGCTGGGATGCCACCTCCAAGGCATGAAGGCAGGTTTCCTGACCATCAAATGCGAAGAGATCGGTTGGATTACTCAGACAACCATAGAGGAAGAACCAAGTTCGATCGGCCAATGCCCATGGATTGGGGTAATAGGGATCGCGGAAGGGATAGCTTCTTTAATGAACGGAAAGCATTCGAAAGGCGACTGCCCTCTCCTCCTTCACCACCACCACCACCACCAGCCCACCGTGGCCGATGGGCACATGATGCTAGAGAGAGAAGCCGGTCCCCATTAAGGGGTGGGCCACCGCCAAAAGATTATAACCGGCCTATGTACATGGATCGAGGACGAGATGATCGTCGCGGCATGGGGCGAGGCCGAATTGGAGATGCATATTAACAATAGGCCAGGGGCATTTTTTGCTGGTGTAATTTTGTCTCGAGTAGATATCTGTTTTTCATCTAGAGTGTATGGAAGAGTGCGCATAGCTTAGTCCTAATTTTAAGATTTCGTTTTTGAATTGGTTTCTGTGACTTTGAACAGGTTATATGCTCTCTCTTCTGTCAATGTTTCTTGGGTGACGTTTGTCTATATGATGGATATTTCGCTGCTATTCTTGCTCTCTGTATTTTAGTACTTGAAATCAGTTGAAGCCGACTCTATATTTTGCTCGGAATCTTCATATCTACAACCAACTGCAGTAAGATGGGGCCCATTTCTTAAACGCACAAATGGGAAATCATGTTTGGTAAGTCCAGCATTAAATGCACCTTTTTAATGATCATATTGCTTGGAAATTGTAGGAAATGGTTGCCTCTTACATAAGGGGTTGGGGGGGAAGAAATTGAAATCCTCCAATTTTTCCTTCTCGTGGGAAACTAACGTCAGCATTAAATGCACCTTTTTAATGAACAATTTGTCCTCATTAACAATGTAGAATTATGATATAGCATTAAATGCATTTCTTATTATTATCTAATATGAGTATAATTGGAAATTAAACAAACTTCCGATGCCCTGCCAAAAAGGCCTTATCGTACTATAATTTCTTTATTATAATTATTCTTTATCACTATTTAAAGAAAATTAAAAACCAGACTTATGCGGTAATCTGAGGGAGCAATTTATATCAGAATCTGTTGTAGGGCGAGAAAACGAACACACGGATCTTAGGTGCAGGAGGAAACGAACACGGGACCTCGAATGGAAACGAGCACTGGACTTGAATGGAGGATGAACACTTATAACCTGCAATTCGTTTAAGGAACCACTATGCATTATTATTTGCCTTGTTTAATGGCTGAAACAACTTGAGCAATGTTCTGAAATTTTCGCCTCTCACTGAGAAGCAGCTTTGCCAACTGAAGAGCCCTTCGCTCGCAACCCGCCCGTTTGCTAGCATCACTGATCGCCTCAAAATCCTCAACATGCGCCACTCCAACAATTCTCCTTATCATCTTGGCAGCACCAAATCCCAGGGTGTCATGAAACAAATCTTCCATAAATTTCTTCTGCACAAGCTGCTGAATCTCAGAGCTGTTGTAAATCGCAGGCAGATAGGCCTCACCAGAACCATCTTTGTGCTGATCCCACAGAGCTATAAACTTGTTCTGAAAAAGATTCCAAGTGTTCTCAATTGTCCTCAAAATCCAACCTTTGTATGCTTCTCTATCATTCTTTTCATCCGCATGCCCATCTTGTGCAAAAAAAGCCAAAATCAAGTTGCCCAAAAAAGCACCAACATCAAAACCCATTGGCCCATAAAATGCAAATTCAGAGTCTATAACTTGGGTTGATTCTTGGGTCACCATTACGGAACTGGTATGAAGATCTCCATGTATCAGAGCTTGGGCTCTCTCACAGAAGAGAGATTTCAACTCAGCAACCTCAATCTTCAAAGCCTCATCTTCCCTCAGAGCCGCAGCATCAGAATCAAGATAAGGAGAGGTCCATCGATTATATTCAGAAACTTTATAAGGATCAGAAAAAACGACCTGCTCGGTGAGCCTGCACATCTCCACATTCCCACAAAACTCAGCAACACCTTGTTTGTGCTCTGTTGTGGAATTGTAAATGAGGGAAGTGTAAAACAGAGTCTTCGACATATAATCCGACATGTCGTCCGCCAGCAGAGGGTACTCAATCCCAGCAACCAACCCTTTTCTCAGAATGATATGCGGAGGCTTCAAGTAACGCATTGCAATCAACGACATAGTGTGATCAAAATGATAAACTTCAGGCACGTGGCCGGGACACAAATGACCGTGTTTTTTCAGCGCCGCTGCTTCAAAATAGGCTCGGTCTTTTGACATTGGCCATGCCTCGCCTATGCTACGCACGTATGTAAGAGCCTGCTTGATGACAAAAGAACCAGAAGAACCAACGACGATGAAGACGAAGTTGAGGTTGCCATCTCCTACTTCTTTGATTTCCAAGCCGTTGAGGTTGTTGTGGAGCTTGGAACAGAGAGAGGGTACAGATTTTATGTAGTCTATGAGGGATGTCTCGTCCAGTGGCCGAAACTCAGAAAAAGCCTTAGCCATGGCTGTTTGATGTCTTGTGCTTTTGGGTTGAGAAGGTACATAAATAGGGAGGTCTGTCTTATCTTTAGCTTGTGGTTCTCCTCCCCACTGTAATCCTTTTCAATTTATTTGAATAGAATTACATTGACCAAAACAAAAAGGTACATAAATAGGGAGGTCTTTTTGATCATGATTCATGAATGATGTATGCATAACGTGGGAATTAGATATGGATTGGACAGTGAAGGTTCAATGTTTTGGACTTTGTAAGAGAATTAGGCAATTGGGAGACTTCCTGCTAGGGCTGCATTGAACTTGGTCGAGCAAGTAGTATGGATTCGTATTTGAACAAAATGTCATAATTAATCTCATAAGGCTGCTTAAGGTTTTGTTAATTTATGACAAGTAATAGTTGGATTCCTTTTTATCATCTCAATGATATATTGGTTTAACGATACTTTTGATGTCATCAACGAATCCATATAATTTAGTAATAAGAGCATTTGCATGCATATTAGTGGTCTCATGTTCAAACCCCAAGGACATTTACTCGAATTGATTACTGAAAAGATGTTTTCCTATTTTCATCTTGCAATTTTGGTAAAGTTCATATTAATCAGTTATTTATAATTGAATTTTTTAAAGAGAATTAGAGGAAAACATTTAAAGCTAAGACATACTTCTTTTTTCAACTTTTTTCCCTCAATCTGTCTGACGTGCACACTACATTATTACGTTAAAGAATTAGATTATATGACCTAATAATGTAATGAGGCAATAATATAAGAGAGAAAATTGGTAAGTATAGAATTGTAGTCATTGTTTAAGAGGAGGACACTTTGAATTTTCATTGAAAATATTAGGGCTTTCCACAAATATTAGTTTAAACAAAATTATAAGAAGAAGAAAAAAAAAAGTAATAACCGCAACACACCTTGTGGTTAAAATATAGGTTTTTATTGATCCAATTCAAAGCAAGACGTTTTTGTAATTAATTTAGGATTTGAGAAACAGAATTACATTTTAAATAGATTTTTTTTTTTGTTGACATGAATTCAGCACGTGTTTTTGTGTGTTTCAGTTGAGAAGAGATTGTTCTTCCGCATCCTGTCCGTCCATTCCGTGCTTCGTACCAACTAAGAAAAATCTCCAATCACAAATCATAAAGACTTGTTGACCGAACCAATATTCCAATCCCAATTAACTAGCTACCTCAAAGTGTGCGATTTCCAACACGACCTTTTTTAGCGCCAACTCTATTTTATTTACTTCTACTCTTTAACCGTTTTACTGGGCCGAATCTTATTAAAATTAACCCGGTTTTTCACCACCCTAATCCAAATCAATACGTGATCTCTCCAATCACGCAGTCCACCTATACAACACGTGTCAGAATCTAACCCCGAAAATCAATTTTTTCCCTGGTGCTGTGCACACAGGATTTTGATTTCCGTAAGATACTTCCATTCAGTGTCTCATCACACCACTTTCACTTTGGTGGAAAATTTGTAATCTTACTAAATCTGACGGCCAACCGCTGACCTTACTCTCTTCTATGAATTCACACCGTCGATTACCACTTTTAACACTCACCGCCAGATCAAACCTAGGATCCCAATCTCACCGTCAAAAAATCACAAAATTGAAATTCAAAACACAGCAAGAGAGAGGGAGGAGAGACGAAGGAGAAAGAAGAAGAACCAGAAAAGAGGGCCTTTGCTGCCTTCTCTCTTCTCAGTCCCCTATCTAATTCTCAAAGCCTCGTATTTTCTCTATACATTTTCTCTTTAGGAATTTTTTTTTTCTCTCACCCTCTCCGTTTTACAATTCGGCGTCGTTTGGATTGCAGCCACCACTGGCCGAGCTTCGCCGCGAATCTTGAGCTGCAAATTCGCACAGGAGTGTTTGAATCTTTTAGATGAATCCGATTGTATTTTGGATCTGAAACCGTGAAATTTGGAAAATTTCGGCTATTATCTGACAGTAATCACTGGATTGAGTTTATCCGCAGAGGAAAAAATTCGAAACTTTGGTGAAATTTGAATTTTTATATTTGATGGGGGAAGCTGACGGGGACGAGTCGGCTCCGACGAAGGGGCAATCGGATGCGGCACCAGCCGCTACGACGTCATCTTCGTCTTCGATGAGCGATGTTCCGGCGAAGAAGCTTGCGAGGCAGCTGGATTTCACGGGATTTGGTGGCGCACCGGCGAGTGTGGCCGTGCCGGAGCTCCCTAAACCGCAACTGGCGACCGTGTCGGTGCAACAGAGTCAGCCAAAGCCACCTGTAGTGTCTGTGCCGGTACCCGTTCCACCGCAGCCGCCCATATCTTCAGTGAGGCCTGTGTAAGTTTGTAGCTTTTCATATGAATATGCAATGAAGTTTAATTTGTTGGGAAAAATATTGCCGCTTAATAATTGTATGGTCCGTTGGTTGCTTATTAGTTCAATTTGACTGAGAAGTTCGGATTTTGGATTGTGAGGTAATGTGGGAAAACTGCTCAAAATTGGAGGCGGCTTGAGAGCATTGTTTTGGAGAATTTAGTCTGTGAGCTGGTATATTTTGGGGTCTATTAAACAATCTTTTGATTTTGTTTGAAGGATTGATTTTGGAGGGCGAACTGGTTATGTTTTGGGTATTTTTGGGAGTGTTTAATACGAGTTTGCTATTCGAATTGCTAAAGTTCGGTTACTTGAACTACTGCATTTGTAAACGAATGGGAGAATTAAATTTGTGTTTCCAAAATAATTTCATTTGATGAATTCATACTTTGAATTCACGTTTTTTATTTGGGTGGGCAGATGGGGTGGGGAAGCCATGTGTTTGCCACGAGCTACTCCTACGGGGCTTTTTTTCTTCTGATAATTTAGTTTTGATTAAAGATGCTTTAGTCTGCGATCAAAATCTCTCTTTGCCTCTTTCTCAATTTCAATTTACAATATCTCATACCCTTTTAAATGTGAGTATTGACTTCTTTTATTTTACACAACATTCGTTGAACTGAGTCCGGGATTTTGGGACCCTGATTTCCACCTCCAAGGAAAGGATGCCTTACCAAGAGGCATTGACTTGCTTTCCTTCTGGATTTGAGTTGTAATGTTGGTTATGATTGATGATCAATCTTTGTTCCTTTAATGCATTTACTGAATTTTTTTTGTACAACCTCTGTTTATTTGCACGTAGAGACACATCTGAAGATACCAGTGTGGCTTAAAGTGAAAATCTTCATGTGAAACCTCTGTTTATTTATATTTAAACACTGTTATTTTTCTTTCTTAGGAAACCAGAATCCCCAAAATCAAGACCAAGACCCAATGTTGATGCAAAAGATGGTACTCCTAAGAAGCAAAAACAGTGTAATTGTAAACACTCTCGCTGCTTAAAGCTGTAAGTGCATAACTTCTCTGCACTAGGTTTGTATGTAAAAACCATTCCATCCAGGAGTTGATATTTTGTTACAGTTCTTCTGATTTTCTTAACCTTAAATTTTAATGCTTCGTTTAAGTCTCTTTTGAAATTCTTAATCGTCATCAACAATGTTCAATTTACGTGAATTTTGTGTTACAAAGAACTATAACCCATGCACGCAGAAACATGAACGTTGACATGAAGCGATTTCCTTGTTATCTTGTGACCAGGTATTGTGAGTGTTTTGCATCTGGAATTTACTGTGACGGTTGCAACTGTGTAAACTGTTGCAATAATGTTGAAAATGAAGGTGCTAGGAGAGATGCAGTTGAAGCTACATTAGAGCGTAATCCAAATGCATTCAGGCCAAAAATTGCAAGTAGCCCTCATGGACCAAGGGATACTCGGGTATGTTTCTCTTAGTTTGATGGACTACTTTCAGACATGATGGCTATTTTCTTTTACCTTTTATGATAGTTTAAAGTTGATAGCATTCAAGGATATCTTGTTTTTTTTTTTTTTTCAATAGATTTTGTTGGCTTCATCAGATATGAAACTTTGTACTGAAAGCTACATTTTAGTGTGCATGACATCATGAACTTCTGACTGGTGCTTTTTATTGCTTTTAAGTGATGAAATTATTACTTCATTACGATTGTAAACCTGACCTTTTTTGCTCCACTGGCTTTGCTAAGAATTTGAGGACATAACATTGCTCTGCAATCAATTAAGTCTTGTAGGAGTGTATGAGAGTATCATTACATGTCGAATTTCTTTTGAATGGTTTATGAGTTTGTGGTGTGTATGGTCTTTCCATTTTGGATGAATTTTCTATGTTTTTTGCTTTGTTATACCATCACAAAAATGGCTTAGATGAAAGTTGATTCCTTGTTTTACTCCAGTAACAAATTGAATTTTATACCTGTTAATTAGAATTGTATTAAATATTCTGCTATCAGTGGCTTTAACTATAAAACCCTTCATTGGATGTTATTGTGGGCTGGCTTGGAAATGTGTAGGAGGAAGCAGGTGAGGTTCTGATCTTGGGAAAGCACAACAAAGGATGCCATTGCAAGAAATCAGGGTGCCTGAAGAAATACTGTGAATGCTTCCAAGCCAACATTCTCTGCTCTGAGAACTGTAAATGCATAGACTGTAAGAACTTTGAGGGAAGTGAAGAGAGACAAGCTTTATTCCATGGGGACCATGGAAACAACATGGCATATCTTCAACAGGCAGCAAATGCTGCCATTACAGGAGCTATTGGATCCTCTGGCTATGCTTCATCACCCCCAATATCCAAGAAAAGAAAAGGTCAGGAACTCTTTGGACCGACAGCCAAGGATCCATCAATTCACAGGATTGGACAGTTCCAACAGGTAAATTTGGTCTCATAGTATAACAAATAACTTTGGACAAATTAGTTGGTGTTTACTCAATGGAAAAAATGTTGCTAGTATGGTACTAAGAGTATGATTTTTGAGAAACTCCCCTGACCTATTAAGATTAGTAGTAGAAATCATGTTTATTGAGATTCAGATTTTTTTTTTCCGGTTTACTTCATCCTGACACTGATTTTGGTGGTTAAATGCGGAATGCTCTTTGTGTATGTTTCTTTGATACCATGTTATGTTTTGGGATAGCATCATTAAATGTGTGTTTCATATAATTTTCAGGGAAACCATATCAGACCCCCTGCTCCCTCTTCTCTGGCTTCGGTCCCTGTTAATCGTCTTGGTGGTGCTGCAGGATTAGGGCCTTCTAAGTTTACATACAGGTATAATTGGTTTTCGTTATAAACTACTAAAGTACGTGGTATGAAACTAATTTGTGTATGGTTGTTGAAGGTCTCTCCTAGCAGACATCATACAACCACAGGACTTGAAGGAGCTTTGTTCAGTTTTGGTTGTTGTAGCAGAAGAAGCTGCAAAGACACTTGCAGGTAGTTTATTGTTTCATGTATGACGAATCACTAGTCTTCAGAATTCATCGTGTAAAATGATATATTTTCTTCCTTTCACAGAAGGTTGTCTTAGCCTGAATGACTGCAAATGATCTTAGGGATGAGATATTGAGAGTTGGGTAGTATCACACCATGGACCATAAAATGATTAAATCTGGAAAATGTTTGGAGTGCATCTCTTTAAGAAGTAAAATGCTTGGGTGTTAAAAGTGATAATACTGACTATGAATTTCTCCGGAACATATAGTCATTTCTACCTAGGCAATGAGCTGTGAAACATCACTTGTGTGGTAAATTAAGTTTTACTAGTTAAGCGAGAACTATAATCTACCTTCCAATAAATCACCTTCCATCTCTCATCTGATTTTGGTTTGTCTTTATCTGGGTAAAGACACATTTAACTACTAATAGGGCATTATAGGAAAAATTCAATTGTAAATTATCTATTACGTAGTGACCTTTCAAATGGTTGTAGTAAATATAAAAAGTTGTGCCTTGGTATGACTGAACATTAGTATGTCCAATCTATCCCAGAACAAAGGAATACAGCAGAGAAGCCGACAGAGACTTCCCTTGCTTCAACGACACAAGATAGGTTGCAAAGCCAAAAGGAATCTGATGCTCAGAAAGCTGTGGCTGATGATTGTTCTAGTGCAAATGAGGCTGATAAAATCAGCCCTGATGATTCCAGTTCAGATGGTGCTGATGTGCCCAAAGGGAGGCCAATGTCTCCTGCAACTTTGGCATTGATGTGTGATGAACAAGATACAATGTTCATGTCAGCTGCTTCTCCTAATGGATTAATGGGCAATCGCTGCAACACATCTTCACAGTTGCCTAATGGACAAGGAATGACAGAGGTCTATGCAGAACAGGAAAGGATTGTTTTGACGAAGTTCCGAGATTGTCTTAATAGGCTCATTACTTTTGGAGAAATAAAAGGCAAGTCGATCCTTTTTCTTATCTGGACTAAATATGGTATAAGTTAAAAGTTTTCCATAATAACCAAACCCTCTTTCACTGTTCAGGCTAAAAACTGTCAGGATAGTTAATTTTTGTTTTATTGTTTGGATACTTTATCTTGTAGGTTTATCTAGAGTGGTTGTTTCCTTGTGAAAAGCTAGGTGCACGACTCTGCAATCAGAAACTTTGAATTACAGTCATCCAGCTGTAATTACACATCCACATTACAATTGTAGTTATACATCCCCTTGTAATTACACATCCACAATACTACTGTAATTACAACCCCCGAACGGTGGGTGCCCCTGCAGTGTTGCATGGCCCTGATCTTGATAGGCATTCAAAATATATAATTTATAAATAAATAAAAAAAAAAAAAATTGACAAGAACTGATGGCAATTAGTTCACTTAAGTTGAAATCTCATTTCCAACCAAAAAAAAAGGGTTGAGATTGCAATTAGCATCTGCAGTCCACGGTTCAGATAATTTGTTAACATTATTTAGAATTTATTTTTCTTTCACCACTTGAACATTGGCAATCAATGTACCTCTTCCATTTAACCTTGCAGAAACAAAGTGCTCATCATTAGCCCGGAGTGAAGCAGAAACTCAAAAAGAGCAGCCCAGCAATGGCAGTACAAAGGCAAGAATGGAAACAGGAAATCAGCAGGGACCAGTTAGCAATGGTGTAGCAAAACCTGCTGTTCCACTCACGGCCAAGACGACAACACCACATATGGTTGCTGCGTTAGCCGTTGGTAAAACTCCCTCCCATCCGGAAAATGGAGAAAGTAGACCGAAAGATTAAAACAGACCTGTAAAGATTTAGCACACAAGATTTGCCCAAGGTATTGTTTTTCTTTGACTTGTCTACGTCTCAGCGCAAGACAACAGTACTAGGAAGTTAGGAACAACTCTTAGAGGTATCCCATTTTTCTCTTTTCTTCTTTTAAGGTTATTGATATATATATAGATTAGTTATCCCATTTTTCTCTTTTCTTCTTTTAAGGTTATTGATATATTTATAGATTAGTGTTTTTTTTTTTTTTGTTAGCTTTAACCATAGTGAGGTCGAAGTGGTGTAAAATGAAGAGCCTTGTAATTGCACAAGATATCATTTTAGATCGTTACATACAAATTAACATCATAGTATTGCCTACATGTTAGGATTTTGATCTTTGCACATGTGGAGAAACAGCGAGCATTTACCACTTATCGTGGAAATAATATGTAACTTAGTTTTCCTTACCGGAGTAATTTCATTACCTTTATTATGCGCCTTGTGTTTAACAATTTTCGTTGCCTCTTTCAAGTGCCGTTCTTTCTTCACAAAAGGTTTTCCCGTTCTCTAAGGAAGAGAACGAAGGGGATTTTATCCCAATAGCAACTTTTGGTTACCTTTTTTTCAACCCTTGAAAAATTTGAGGTTTGTAGCCAGCCTAAACCCTTAGCCCTAAACCTTAAAACATTCTAGGTATTCCTCTCCATGCTTCTTTTCTTCATCGAAAAAGTTGTACTTAGAAACATGAAATCTCTCGCATGAGTAAAACATGAACGGTTCTATGCTCTAAACACAAGAAACTATTTGTTCCTATTTTCTTAAACAAAATAGATTTGGAATTCTTTTTGAATTGTACACTTATCAAATTTCAAAATGGTGTTCTTCAAATGACTAATCCCTCTAAAACATATTCAATGCCTTTCCATTTCAGTTTCAATCAGTTGGCCGCAATTTCCATTAAGGAGCATTATGACTAAAATATAGTACAATAATTCCATGAATTATGAAAGAAAAAAAAATTGTGATTATGGATCTTTGAAGTTGGAAATTAAAATATTTAAAAAAAAGAGTGTGTAGAGACGGCAAGAGAGATAAATATAATGGTCTCCTCCCCTGCTGGTTGGTAGTATTGGAAATTTTTGTTCATGCTTATTGAGCCAGCAGCTGAAACAAGCGAGTGGTCCGGTGGATGATTTAGTAAATGAGAAAAGACCAAGACCCTAAGAATTTCAGAAAGGGGTGGCATGGCATTGGTATGCAGTGAAAATTTAATCTCTCATTCTTCTTTGTTGTTTCTTTATCCAGCACATTGATGTTCACATCTAGTAAAAACAATAAATAATTTTTAGTCTATAAGTTATGTTAGTGCCGAAAAGAACACAACTTATGTTTCCCTTGAGTAGCTTTGCGTTGCTCTGCAGGCTTGAGTTTCCCTTTAGATGTTTACCCACTAATAATTGTTTCTGCATATACACATATGGAACGTGAATTAATAGCCTTAGCCGTACGTACAAGGAGATACATGGCATTGGCAGAGAAGAAAGAAATAACAGAAGCAGAGGCTTCCCTTTCTTTGTGGAGGTTGTATAAAAAATAAATATAAACTTAGTTTCTTTAGGTCTTTTTTTTAGTAATTAATTAATATCTTAGCATTTTTTAGTTACTTTCATTTGTAATTATGTTTTAATTAATATTTATTTAGTGGATAATTAGTATAAATATTTTAATTAAGTTCATAAATTATATTACTTAATAAATAGAAATTAAATTTTATTTCTTTAATAATAAAGGTATAGCCACGCGGCTATACTCTTGAAACTTTCTAGTTAACACGTATTGAAATATTCTACTTGTAGAGTATTGCCGGGTGGCTATGCGTTCGAAATATCTTCTTATAGAGTATCGCCGCACGGCTATACTGTTTAAATATTCTATTTAATATTCTTCTTACACAGTATAGCCTATACCTTTGAAATAGTATGCAGTTTATAAAAAATAAATATAAATTTAGTTTCTTTTAGGTCAAAATTTTATTTAAAAAAATAAAATTATTTTTAGCAATTAATTCATATCTTAGCATTTTTTAGTTACTTTTATTTGTAATTATGTTTTTATTATTACCTTTTTAGTGCATAATTAGTATTAAATATTTTAATTAACTTCATAAATTATGTTGCATAATAAATAGTAATTAATTTTTTTTCCTTTGATAAAATATTTAAATACTAATTATTCACTAACTAGATAATAATTAAAACATAACTACTAATTAAAGTAATTAAAAAATAAATTTTCATATTATGCTATTAAAAGGTATAGCCGTCCGGCTAGCTTTTTGAAACTTTCTATTTTAGGGTCTAGCCGCACGGCTATACCTTTGAAACTTTCTATTT